GTTCTTTTATTGTGAGAAAGGGAGAAAAGTACCTCTTTCTCTACCTACTCTATCCCATGCATAATCTTAAAAACCTCAATCATGTCACCCCTCAGCCATCGTTTCTCCAAGCTAAAGAGCCCCAAGCACTTTAACCTTTTTTCATAGGGAAAGGGTTCTAACCCTTTTATCATTCTAGTTGCCCTTTTCTGCACTTATCCAATGCTGAGGGAAGACATGATTGAGGTTTATAAGATTATGCATGGGAGAGCAGGTAGAGAAAGAGGTACTTTTCTCCCTTTCTCACAATACAAGAATTCATGGGCACTCCATGAAATTGCTGAGCGGTCGGGTTAGAACGGATAAAAGGAAGTACTTCTTCACCCAAAGAGTGATTAACACTTGGAATTCACTGCCACAGGAGGTGGTGACGGCTACAAGCATGGACGGCTTCAAGAGGGAATTAGATAAGCATATGGAGCAAAGGTCCATTACAATCTAATAGCTACCAGTGGATTGTGTAAAAAGGATGTAAATTGACTGGTATTTATTAGATTGTACAAACTGATTATTATTGTTGATATTGCATGTAATGAATATATACCTGTTTTAGAATATTATGAATAATACACAATGCACTTTATAAGATGGGACATATAGAAGACTTTAACTTATAAAAAAGGTTTTTGCAGTGTATATATTTGTTGTTTGACCACCTGAAGGTTGGCAAAGCAAAGGGCAGACACTACTGGGCTGGGTGACTCAGTGATTTGTCTCTAGGTAAAGCAACTCTTTATATGTATTAAAACTGCACGCCAGCAATCATAACTGCAGTTAATGAACTCTCCGACCAAAATATTCCGTTTGCTCAGATACGATGCTCAGAAATTTGCATCCCGGCCCCCACAGCAATGCTTCTTGGAAGGGAAGAGGGGTAGAATTCCTTCAACAAGTTTGGTGTTGTGGTTAAATAGAGCCAGTTTGGTGTCGTGGTTAAGTGCGCGGACTCTAATCTGGGAGAACTGGGTTTGATTCCCCACTCCTCTACTTGCACCTGGCTGGATGACCTTGGTCAAGCCGTAGCTCTGATAAGAGCTGTTCTTGAAAAAGAGCCATTTCTGTCAAGAGCTCTCTCAGCCCCACCTACCTCGCAGGGTGTGTGTTGTGGGGAAGGGGAAGAAGTTTGTAAGCCACTCTAGACACCTTTGGGTAGTGAAGGGCGAGGTATAAATCCAATCTCCTCCTCCTCCTCAACAAGAAGGACATAGAGCATGCAGAAAAGCCAGGGACGTTTTTCTTTATTTTGAGTTGTGTTGTTGATTTTGCCCTTTTGTTGCTGATTTGCAGACAAGAAAAGCCAAGAGGCAAAGAAAGAGAGTACAAGAAGAAAGCTCCATTCCGTCTATGAGGTCAAGCAAGAAATAGCGAGGTAAAGGAAAGCTTTCCGATCGGTGTTCCTTTGAAACTATACACTCAGTTTTTGTTGTTGTCCCCATTCAATGTTAGTTTAAGGTATTTGGTGGCTTCAAGCAAGGTACATCGCTCATTAGACATGGACCAGCAGGTAGTGCTACTGTTCCAGTAGGGGGCACTGGTTACCTTCCATGACACTGATGCCTGGAAAGAAGCTGAGACGCCGTGGTGTGATGCCCTCCTTGTTGCGCCAGTTCTAGCTGTCGCTTGGGTAGCTTGGCCAGAGAGCCACCCTTGGTCCTGTTGAACATAAGAACATCAGAAGAGCCCTGCTGGATCAGACCAGTGAGGGTCCATCTAGTCCAGCCTCCCGTCTTACACAGTGGCCAGCCAGTTCCTCTGGAGGGCCAGCAACAGGGCAGAGAGACCGACGCCTTTACCTGATAAGAATATAAGAAGAGCCCTGCTGGATCAGACCAGTGTGGGTCCATCTAGTCCAGCCTCCTGTCTCACACAGTGGCCAACCAGTTCCTCTGGAGGGCCAGCAACAGGGCATAGAGGCCTTCCCCTGATAAGAACTTCAGAAGAGCCCTGCTGGATCAGACCAGTAAAGGTCCATCTAGTCCAGCATCCTGTCTCACACAGGGGCCAGCCAGTTCCTCTGGAGGGCCAGCAACAGGGCAGAGAGACCGACGCCTTTACCTGATAAGAATATAAGAAGAGCCCTGCTGTATAAGTCTATCAGTGGCTACTGGCCATGGTGACTGACGGAAACCTCCACATTCAGAGGGCTCTGAATCCTAGATTCAGGAGGCAACCTCAAGGGAAGGCCTCAGCCTCTCTGCCCTGTTGTTGGCCCTCCAGAGGAACTGGCTGGCCCCTGTGTGAGACAGGATGCTGGTCTAGATGGACCCTCACTGGTCTGATCCAGTAAGGCTCTTCTTATGTTCTTATAAGTCGATGGAGGAAGGGTACACAGGCAAGTAAGGGGCATGCAGGTGGGTGGGGGAAATGTTTTAAATTGGAGGCTGGTGGGGGCCAGAGGAAGGGAGGGGCTCTGGGCCCTTTCTGCCCAGGGCCCCTCCGGACCTGGAAATGGCCCTGGACATGAGTCTTCCTCTTAATCCCTCGGTTTTAAAATTCTTTACAGAGGTTCCTTTGGCCTTCTCAAGAGGGTTGTCCATAAAGGCAACCGAACACTCTGTGCAGCGAAATTCATACGCCTGAGCAGCAGAACAAGGGATCAGACCTTTCGCGAGAGGGACATCCTGGCCACATTGTCCCACGACAGGATCACTCGACTGCTGGACGAGTTTGAGACGCGGAAGACCTTGATCCTTATCTTGGAGCTGTATCCTTTATTGGAAACCCCGGGGTGGAACGTGTGTTAGTCACGTCTGTGGCAGTGTGCTCGGGAGGGACAAATACCAATGGCAATGATGCCATTTAGCAATGGCAAGCACAAGATCCGAGGTGGTGTAATGAAAGTCAGGGACGCCAGCATTTGATCCCAGGGCTGCAGCCCATCCTCATCTGCACCTTTTCAGACAACAAGCAACTAGTCCTTGGGTTGTCAAAATATCTTGGATTGCCAATGGCTTCAACAAGTGTCCTCCATTCATAAAAGGGTAGTCTTAATGGTTCATCTGACTCACGGGATTCTTCTGCGATTGCAATAATTAGGCCACATTTTATCCATTGCTTTATACCAGGGGTGGCGAAACTGCAGCTTGGGAAGCCACATGTGGCTCTTTCGCACATATTGTGCGGCTTCCAGTAGGGCAGCTGGGGAAGCGAAGGGGAGGCATACTTTTTCTCCTTCTTCCTTCCTTCCTTCCTTCCTTCCTTCCTTCCTTCCTTCCTTCCTTCCTTCCTTCCTCCCTCCCTCCCCTCTCTTTTTCTATCTCTCTTAGACAAATAAATATCATTAGCAAACAAATAAATATAATTGGACTAAGAAATATCAATCAGGGGTCATTTTGTAGAATAAGAGCTGGAGGAGCTCATTAGCATATCTAATAGGCTATTGGCATAATAGCTCATTAGCATATGCCATGCCCCCTGACATCACCAGATGTTATGTCAGAAGGGGAAGCAAAAAGGGGGGGAGGCATCTTCAAAAGCTTCCCCTTATCTTCCCCAGCCGGCCTGCCAAGGGGCTGGGGGGGGGGGAAGCGCAGAGAGAAAGGGTTTAAAGTGTAAACTCTCTATGGGGCCATAGAATACAATGGAAAGATTGCACCACCACTGCGGCACGACTCTAGAAAGAAGGAGCTGGCGGTGGGGCTTGCCGACACCACCATCTGTGTCTTCTCCCTCTCTCTCTCTCTGACAAATAAATACCATTAGCATACAAGTGTCATTGGACAAATAAATATCATTAATATCTGTTTTTACCCCTTTTGTTTTTATTTTTGGCAGTCTCGTTTAATGTTAATAAAAAAGCAAATTTGCATATTTTTAAATAAAAACGTGCGTGTAATATTTGTTTGTGTTTTGCGGCTCTCAAGCATCTGACATTTATTCTATGTGGCTCTTACGCTGAGCACGTCTGGCCACCCCTGCTTTATACTGTGTCAAAATAAAACATGCCATGTTCCTTAATATGTGAGATGTTCCCACGAAGAGCTCTTGGACAGGTTGTTCAGGAAGAACGTGGTGACGGAAGCAGAGGTGAGATTTGGTTCTTGGGTTGCTTTTGGGCAGGGCTTTAGCGAGGCTTGCCAATCTCCAGGCGGGACCTGGAGATCTCCTGGGATTACAGCTGATCTCCAGACAACACAGGACAAGTGTTCCCTCTAAGCTGAGTTAGTGTGAGCTAGCTCACAGTTTTTTAGCCTCCGGCTCACAGATTTTTCTCTTAGCTCAGGAAGGACGGCTCCAGAGCAAGCTAATTTATTCTGTAGCCAAATCGTTTGCTCACAACTTTAAAGCCAGTAGCTCACAAAGTAGAATTTTTGCTCACAAGACTCCACAGCTTAGAGGGAAAATTGCACAGGACGGTTCCTCTGGAGAAAATGGCTGCTCTAGGAGAGTGGACTCTGTGACATTATACCCCACTGAGGTCCAAGCCCCACCCACTCCAGGCTACACCCCCAAGCATGCAAGAATTTCCCAACCCAGTGTTCACATCGCAACCCTAGCTGGGCCACAGAATGCCTCTGAAATCAGAATGGTATTTTTCATTGAGAGCCAGTTTGGTGTAGTGGTTAAGTGTGCGAC